GAGAAGGTCCAGAGAAGAGCAACAAGAATGATTATAGGTCTAGAGAACATGACCTATAAAATAAGACTGAAAGAATTGGACTTGTTTAGCTTGGAAAAGAGAAGACTGAGAGGGGACTTGATAGCGGTTTTCAGATATCTAAAATAGTGTCACAAGGAGGAGGGAGAGAAATTGTTCTTCCTGTCCTCTGAGGATAGAACTAGAAACAGTGGTCTTAAACTGCAGCAAGGGAGGTTTAGGTTGGACATTAGGAAAAAGTTCCTAACTGTCAGGATGATTGAACACTGGAACAAATTGCTAGGGAGGTTGTGGAATCTCCATCTCTGGAGATATTTAAGAGTAGGTTAGATAAATGTCTATCAGGGATGGTCTAGACAGTATTGGGTCCTGCCATGAGGTCAAGGGCCTGGACTCCATGACCTCTTGAGGTCCCTTCCAGTCCTAGTGTTCTATGATTCTATGATTGTATGAACTTTTCCTTATTCACTTTTACCACACCAGTCATGATATTTTAGACCTCTATCATATCCCCCCCTTCGTCTTTTCTTTTCTAAGCTGAAAAGTCCAAGTCTTTTTAATCTTTCTTCATAGGGGGCCTGTTCCAAACCTCTAATCATTTTTGTTGCCCTTCTCTGAACCTTTTCCAATGCCAATATGTCTTTTTTTTTTAGATGAAACGACCACATCTGTACACAGTATTCAAGATGTGGGCGTACCATGGTTTTATATAGAGGCAATAAGATATTCTCTGTCTTATTCTCTATCCCTTTTTAAATTATTCCTAACATTCTGTAGGATCCCCTCCACTCATAATTGTCCCCTACACTGGATCAGGTTTGTTCAGCCCCGAATCTCTCCCAAGATGTAGGGCCCATCACAAGTGGGCTTTAGAACACATACTGTAAAGGACGGAATCTACGATAAATGAAAATATAAAACCGGACCAAAGCCCCGGATTTAAACACATCTGAATTTCAATGGGTCCCAGCTTCCCTTTTCCAGCGACATGCTGCCAGTATTTTAACTACGGACTCTGATAAAAATAACCCTCACTTTATGCTGTGCTGAGACCCAGAAACCATGCAGTTAGGCAGCATCCTGACAGGGAGTAAACATACCAGAGAGAGGTGTGGTTGCAATCTTTTCTTAAATGCAATGATGGATTAATATAAGGGCCTCTTGAGAACTTCTCACAACCCCCCTCCCGCATCTCACTGCCCCTTTCTCTACAACAACCCTTCCCCTCTCTCCCCCCCACCATCTGAACCCTCCTGAACACCTGGGAAAGTTGGATCTGGACTGCAATTCAATCTGAGTGACTCGGACCCATCTCCACACTGGTACAGCAGATCCACACGTGGGATGCAGCCAGACACATTGTTTTTTTCATGCTGGAGATAAGACCCTGGCTATTGATGTTTTGCTGAGGATGGTCATGGAGGATAATTAGGAAATGAACAACTTTGGTTATGGCGACCTGTCACCATCTCAGGAAACGAATGCTCCATTTCTATAACTAATTTGCTAGAATGTTTCATGAATCTATCGAACTGCCACAGCCACGTACAGCCAGTAATTAAGTTTTTGAAGAGAACATGGCGACATTCCAGCACAGAGGTTAATGCTAAAGTTGCGGGAAAAGGAACAGAGTTGACACATTGGATTAAAAATTGCCTGAAGGGTTGAAAGCAAACGGCACCTTTCCAAATTAAAAAGGAAGGTTAATTGCAGGGTGCTGCAAGGATCAAGGTTGGTAGTTACAATCTTTTATTAGCTGGATAAGTGACTTCGATGTCAGGCTTCAGAGCCAGAGATTTAGGCACAATAAATGCAATTTAATTGGAAAGAGCAATATTTAATGGAATAAGCCTTGACCGGATTCTATTACATAAGTACTCTATCATGTGAATGGCAGGTCCCACTGTAGATCAATGCAAAGAACTTAAGTAGGAGGTTTAAAACAAGAGGAAATGTCCGCCAAATGGAGTAGCAATGTGGAAAGATGTGCCAACTACTCTACTCAGAAATCATAAACTCTGTCCAACATGTTCCTGACGTGAGAAAACCTATGATGGATCATATGTGGAGTGTCAATAGAAGAAATGACAGGCAACGTTAATTTTGGGGTAACATGGTAGCAGGCTAGGAGTCTCTTTGAAACTCTTTGGAACATCTTTTTTAAATTGGTGCAGAACCTTGGAAGGCAGTGGAGTTACACCCCCAAAGACCATCACCCATAAAGTTAATAAATTCCCTACTGCTGTACTCTAGAGGAAGGAGATAGTACAGTGGGCTATGCTACTGAGAATATACAGCAGTATATAATAGAATGGACCAGTGGTCTTTACTATGCTTTAGACTGAGGGTTCTCAAACTTCATTTCACAACCTCCTTCTCACCATGAAAATTATCGCATGACCCCAGGAGAGGGGACCTAAGACCAAGCACACTCAAGCCCCATTGTCCCAAGTGGTGAGGCCAAAGCCTGAACCTCACTCTCCTACTGTATGTCTACACTGCAGCATTTTTCTGGGAAAACGGCCGTTTTTTCAGAAAAACTATAATTATGTCCACACTGCTATTACATTCTTCCGACAGAAAGTTGAAAGAATGGAGGGGTTGTTCTGACAGTGGTATATCTCTTTCTGCGAGGAAGAAGCCTTTTTCCGAAAACAGGGTGGATGGAGAAGAGGGAGTTCTTTCAAAAGAAGAGGCCTCCAGGAAATAACACAGGTGCTCTGATGGCCACTCCGTCCATACTAATAACAACTGAAATGTGGGATAGCGTCCAATCAATGTGGCCGCTATCTTTTGAAAAAGCACATCGTTTTTTCGTTATGCTTTTGCTGTGGGATGCTCTCTTTTGAAAAGCTTTTCCTGAAGATCTCTTCCGGAAAAGCTTCTTCTGAAAGAAGTCTGCAGTCTAGACATAGTCCTAGATAGCCTGAGAGCTTCTGCCTCAAGTGGGGGGCAGCGCCTTAGTTGTTCTCCTCCCCTTTCCCCCCACCTCCTCCCCAGAGCTGACATCCTCTGCAGGTGGTGGGACTTGGACTTTTGTTTTGGCCCTGGGCCCCGGCAAGCGTAAAGCCAGCTCTGGCTACCCCATTAAAATGAGGACACAGCCCACCTTGGGGTTCCAACAGGTAGTTTGAAACTGCTGCTTTAATGATAGTAATTAATTCCTTTTGCTGCTATGCCAGGTGTAATTGACACTGGAGTTTATACCAAAGCTTATTATTTCTGGAGGGTAACTTGTGTGCATCTATAATCCGCTTTATAAAGTGACTTGGGAAGGATTAAGCTGCTGTAACAATAAGCAACATTTCATCAGTCTTGCTTGTAACCTTTTATAAAGGAGTTTATTCACACAAAGTCAATGGATACTTTGCATTATTATCAGATGGATACTGGTCAGTCCTGGTAATTTTGCCTTTGAATAAAGAGTCAAGCTGATTTCTTCAAAGGCAACGTATGTTCCCTATACCAAGATGTCTCACTCTCCTCCTCTTCATTTGGAGCCATGATTGTTCCCTTCTGTATTTTACTGCTTCACCCTTTTCTGAGGGTATATCTACTCAACAGAGTTTTGTCAGAAAAATGTCTCTTTTTCCGACAAAACGTGAGGAACGTCCACACTGTAATTGCGTTCTTCCGCAAGAAAATCAAAAGAACAGAGAGGTTTTTCCGGCATTGGTAACCTCATTCTACAAGGAAGAAGCCTTTTTGTGAAAAAGCTCTTTCGCAAAAAGGTGTGTGTGGATGGGGAAGAGGGAGTTCTTTTGGAAGAAGAAGAAAGAGGAAAAAGCACAGGTGTCCTGGTGGCCATTCTGTCCATAGCAATCACAGCTTACATGTGAGAAAGCATCCATTCAGTCTGGACACTCTCTTTTGAAAAAGCAGGTCGCTTTTTTGATACACTTTTACAGTGTGGTTGCTCTCTTTCAGAAGAAGTTTTTTTGGAAGATCTCTAGACGTTGCCTGAGTCAGATACCCTCTTCCTGAGCTGCTACCCTGATCCCACACCTCCTATCTCTTTCACTCCCAGACAGTGTTTTATCTCCTGTCTTCTTCCTGTTCCTTAACTTCTCCCTTTCTGCTGGCTCTTTCTCCTCCACTTTCAAACATGCCTCAGAAACCACAGCCTGGAAAAATTCTCTTGACACTTTGCCTCCTAATTCCCTTCTACCCACAATGTCTCTCCACAGATTGTCTCTTTGGAACTCTGGAAAGCCAGCCAGCCAAGGAATACAGCCAAGGGGCTACCTATTCTCTGCCCCACCCAAGCTATTTTCTACCCTCACCCCGACCTGCCCACATACACGGATTAGTTGAGATCCCTCCTTAGCCTGCAACTAGGCCTGACATTCCAGTTAGGCCTTGTAGGGGTTCTTACACTCCTGCAGAGGTATGGAGTTCACGTTACAACCTAGCCCAGTGTTTCTCAACTAGTGGTACGAGTACCCTTAGGGGTACTCGAAGAAGTCTGGGGGGTACATCAACACCCCTGAAATTTGGAGAAAACTGAATTTTTGCTTTAAGTTTTACAGCGCTGTATTATTTTTGTACTTTTTGCACCCAAAAATTTCATTGCCTGCCTTGCGATGATGAAGTTGTGTAAACAAATGTGTTGCAATGGTAGAAAAAATGTTTTGTATCTGAAAACTGTAGGTCCTGGGGGTACTTATAATTTTTTTTAAAAAGGGGGTACTTTATTAAAAAAAAGGTTGAGAAACATTGACCTACTCATAGTTGATGAGGTTGAGAAAAAGCAGATGGAGCAGATATAGAGGTGTTATTGTTTCATAGTTTGCTTGGGATGTCACATATTGTTATCAGCTCAGGAAATATGACTTGGCAGTCCTCACATTGATTGATCCTGGCGTGTGCTGATTGCACAGAGACATCCTATTTACCCTGGCAAAGTGCCATTTTTTTTATGAACATCTAATCTTGCCAATCTGGAGATGCCTATGTGAAATAATTGTTTGTTTTGGTTTTAGGGTAGAAGAAAGTTTTAAAACCTTATTCTGGTCAATATTTGGCTTGTCTGAAGTGATATCAGTGGTGCTGAAGTATGATCATAAGTTCATTGAGAATATTGGATATGTGCTCTATGGAGTTTATAATGTTACCATGGTGGTGGTGCTGCTCAATATGTTAATAGCCATGATCAACAACTCCTATCAGGAAATTGAGGTAAGATACACAATTTGATTACAGATTATATATATATATATGTATATACACTTTTAATTTTCTCTTTTATGTTATAAAAACAAGGAAATTACAGGATCAACTTTAGAAGATGTCATAATGCAACATAAGCCATTTAATCTTAAAATTCTATGGCACTGGAGAAGACCCGAATACAGAATGAGACCTAACCAAATAATTCTCAAGCAATCATTTGTACAGTGAATTTATCTTGTTGACTGTCTCTGAGCACACCACAATTTCCTTAGATTTATTCATTCTTTGAAAGTAGTTCATGATTTTAAAACAAAACAAAACAAAAAAACACAACCCCCCCTGAACGGTTCTTTATGAATATTTGCTAAGTTAGTTTCTCTCTCTCTCCCTCTCTCTCTCGAACGGTTCTTTATGAATATTTGCTAAATTAGTTTCCCTCTCTCTCTCTCTCTCTTTCACAACACACACACACATACAAAAAGGATTTGATTAGCTAAATAGATTCACAAAAACTCATGCATGGCCACTTTGAAATTCATTTCCCATGAACATCAGTGCAAGCAAATCTCTGGGGCAAAAATGGTCACAGGAAATGAACACAAAAGGGACATTAGGAGAAGAGGCTAACTCATGAAAGAATCTGAATGAATCGTTGCAGAAATGTATTCACCCATCCGTGCCCTGTATTGTTCAGATTAGCAAGCTGGGTTTGCTAAATACTTAGGAGAATGCCAACTTTCTGCTAATGTAAATAAAGCAGGGGAAATTATTAATATTTGGACAGTCTTTTGTCAGTGATGAGTCACCTCTTTCTTGTCGCAGTTTCTTGAAAGTCAGCTTCCTATAGTTGGACTTGTATTAATTAGCTGTTCTGATTTACCCTCCGAACCCAGCTCTGGAAAAGGCCAGAACTGCAAATAAACTCTGCTACTTTATGTCTGCATTCTGTACTAACATCAGCAAGCACTCACAGGGTACGTCTAAACTACATGCCTCTGTCGGCAGAGGCATGTAGATTTGTTTTTTGGGCAAAGGCAAAGGAAGCCGCGATTTAAATGATTGCGGCTTCATTTACATTTACATGGCTGCCGCGCTGAGCCGACAAACAGCTGATCAGCTGTTTGTCGGCTCAGCGCGGCAGCCATGTAAATGTAAATGAAGCCGCGATCATTTAAATCGCGGCTTCATTTGCCTTTGCCAAAAAAACAAATCTACATGCCTCTGCCGACAGAGGCATGTAGTTTAGACGTACCCTGTGAGTGCTTGCTGATGTTAGTACAGAATGCAGACATAAAGTAGCAGAGTTTATTTGCAGTTCTGGCCTTTTCCAGAGCTGGGTTCGGAGGGTAAATCAGAACAGCTAATTAATACAAGTCCAACTATAGGAAGCTGACTTTCAAGAAACTGCGACAAGAAAGAGGTGACTCATCACTGACAAAAGACTGTCCAAATATTAATGCTGTCTACCCAAAAAGATTTCCCTGCTTTCAGAAGGCCTGGTCATAGTCCCTCTCTGCCCAAAAAATCTTATCACCTAAAGGTTAAGCTTCAAGCAATGTCTACACTGCAACACTATTTCAAAATAATTTAGTCCACATCTACACAGCAGGCAGTTATTTTGAAATAGTGTCAATACACTCTCAAGCTGGAGGACTTCTTACTCCAACACCTATACCTCTCATTGTACAGAGGAAGAGTGCTCTATTTTGAAATATGTGCTGTGTAAACACTCCCTATTTCAAAACAAACTATTTCAAAATAAGATACTCAATTGCCGTAGCTCAATTTGTGTAGCTTATTTCTAGTTAAGTCCTGCAGTGTAGACACACCCTGGCTATGTCTACACTGCACCCCTTTTCCGGAAAAGGGATGCAGATGAGACAAGTTGGAATTGCAAATGCAGCAGGGATTTAAATTTTCCCCGCTCCATTTGCATGAACATGGCTTCCGCTTTTTTCCGGCTTGGGGCTTTGCCAGTAAAAAGCACCAGTCTAGACAGGGATCTTTTGGGAAATAAAGACTTTGAGGAATAAGGGCATGTCTACACAACCCCGCTAGTTCGAACTAGCGGGGTAATGTAGGCATACCACAATTGCAAATGAAGCCCAGGATTTGAATTTCCCGGGCTTCATTTGCATAAGCCGGGCGCCGCCATTTTTAAATCCCGGCTGGTTCGAACCCCGTGCCGCACGGCTACACGCGTCACGAACTAGGTAGTTCAAACTAGGCTTCCTAGTTCGAACTACCGTTACTCCTCATTCCACTACTGAGGCAAAGTGGAGCTGGAGCAATCCAGAGCTGGACAGGGGTGGTGAGCAGCTGAACAGAGTGAGAGGGACCCTGGGCAGGGGGCCCAGCACTGGGAGACACACCATAGCCAAGAGGCCTTGTGGAGGGGGGGGTGTCTCTCTGCGCTGCCCCTGTTCTGAGCACCGACTCTGCAGCTCTCATTGGCTGAGAACTGCAGCTAACAGGAGCTGTGGAGGCGGTGCCTGTGGACAGTGACACGTGGAGACCCTCTGTCCACCTTCCCACCTAAGAGCCGCTGCCAGAGGGATGTGCCGGTCACTTTTGGGAGCCACCCAAGGTAATCATTGCCTCCTCACTCCCTCCCATGCCCCATTCCCTGCCACAGCCCAGAGCCCCACCCTTCCTCCCAAGTCCCCATCTCCTCCCATATCCAAACTCCCTCCTAGACCCTACCTCCTTCTGGTGAAAGTGAATGAGGATGGGAGAGAGTGAGTTTTGGGGAGAGGGAGTGTGTAGGGGCAGGGCCTCAGAGAAGGGGTGGGACAGGGGCATGGCCTCAGGAAAGAGGCAGAGCACAGTTAGACTGTTGGCAAACGTGCCAGACAGGCATGAGGAAACCAGGGCTGTGTCTGAAGAACATGCCCAGCAGCATAGCCAGCAGCTCACTGGGCACCAGCACTGCCCAAATGACAGGCAGAACACATTGTTACCCGCACAAAATACACACACTCTCTATGGGCACCCACCTTTACCCATTCCTAGGGTACAGGCATAACCTTACACTTTGTGGGTTTGTGTGGTCATGTACCAGTGAACGAGCCTTCCCCAGTAATATCCTACTTAATCTCCATTTATTACAAATAATCAAAACCAGATGCACACACCAGTCATAGGTTTTGTCTACACTGCAGGGGTTTTGCACAAGAAGCTTTTTGCAGAAGAGATCTGCAAAAACGTATTGCTCAAAAGTGTGTCGACATCTCAAAAGCACATTGCAAAAGCGATGTGCTTTTGTGCAAGAGAGCGTCCACACTGCATGGACGCTCTTGCGCAAGAAAGCTCTGATGGCCATTCACAGCACCTGTGCTTTTTCTGATATGCTCCTTTTGCATAAGAAACCCCTGCGGAGTGTCCACACTTGCCTTTTTGTGCAAGAGCTGTAGTGCAAAAAAGAGGTATTCCTTGTGGGGATAGGAATAACTCTATCAGAAAAAGTCCTCTGTCCTGTCGATTTACTGTATTTTTTTTTTTTGAGCAAAAATATGCTTGAGGAGTGGACGCTCCACCATTTTTTGGGCAAAAACAGCCATTTTTGTGCAAAAACCTTGTAGTGTAGACATGGCCATAGAGTGCTCGCCACTCCCCATAAGACAGATGAACTTGTCTTAATGGCCAGTCAGGATCAGGTCCATCTGAGGGACTCTAGTCTCTGCACGGTGTCATGGGCACAGGGTCAAGGTCTGGCAGCTCTGATCTTGGAGATGTGTCCTGGAGTTGGTTCCCCAAGGAATTTCCTTTTGACCCCCAGTTTATATAATGAAACCTGAGTCCTGCTTAAATTATATCAGTGCAAGATTATATCTATAGCTTGTAGAATTCAGAGGTCATCAAACTTTATTTGCACTAGACATATTTACTTTCCCCCTTGTTTTATCATAGCGATGATGTAAAATATTTTTCCTTTTATTTTCTCCATTGTGTCACAGGGATCTCCATGACCAGAAATATAGCAGATATTCAGCCAATAGTTCATCCAGCAAATAATAGTTGGTGTGCTATAAAGCTCATCAAATGCCACAAAGACAAATTATCCAGGGCTAGCCTGTGCCTTTAGGCACTGCTCTGATGATAGGATCAGTGCTTTTTTTGTGATGGTACTGCCTTGTAGGCTATACCGGCACCTCTAGACACAGCACCAGCACCTCCAGTCAGAGCTCAACAACTTTTCCCCTGGAGTGCTGGCACTTTTTTTTTTTTTTTTGTACAAAAAACCCCACCACATAGGATGGTGCATAAACAGCACCACTCCAACACTAGCTCTAGGAAGAATTATGATTCAGAGACCCAATTCCTGACAGTGCTTGACTTCCTGCCTGGGACATGTAGTCCAAGCCTCAGTCTAGCCTTCAGTGACTACCAGCAGCATTCACTGAATAACGTTTTAGATAAGTGGTATTTGACCAGATCTGGTTTTCATATTTCTGAATTTAGCTTAGTACAAATATCAACCAGTTTAAGTACCGTCCCTTTCTACCTGTGACAGAAGATGCTTGTGACAAAAATTTTGCGAGACTTTGGTTAAATGTCTTTGATCACTCAGAGGTCTTACCTATAACTATGGCTTCTCACACCACCTCCCTAGACCCTATGTTGGTGTTCAAAAGGCCCTTCATTCCCAGGTGCACTAATAAGATGTCTCATAATGTCAACATAGTGGGCAGAATGCTTGGAACAGTGTGACAGTCAGTGTACTACATCATCCAGGAGACACGTAACCTGCTCCTGCTTGAACCCACTATAAAATCTAATTTTAACCTTGTCCTTCACAGACCAATGGCAAGAGAGAGAGAGGACAGGAAGTAGGATCCTGTTGGTTACTGGAACATCCCTCTAGATGGGATAATTATCAAAATGTGATTATGTACAGGTTGACCCTCTCTAGTCTGGCACCCTCGGGACCTGTCTGGTGCCAAACCAGAGAATTTGTGTGATTGCGAGAGATCAATATTGTCTAGCAGCATTACCAACACTTCCACTGCTTGCTGGGCTCTTAGAAGACATTTAGGGGTAAATTAGAGCTAACTAAAAGCACAGAATACTGGACTCCAGGACTGATAGCTGTAAAGAAACATTATGGTACTGGACTCTAGGACTGATAGCTGTAAAGAAACATTATGGAAACTGAGGGAAACTTGGCCGTGCCTATGATAAGTGGACATCCAGCTAACTGAAATCAGGCCAGACCACGGATGTTGCCGGATTACAGAATGCAGGGCTGGAAAGGTTCAACCTATATCATAATTTGTGGGGGCAGCCTTCTCATGTCTAATCCAGCCTCTTGAGAAGTATCTTATCTGTCTGCCCAACACAAAAGTAGAAGCATGTTAACAAATTACTTCAATTGTGATTAGGTTTAAGTCTTGTTTTATAAAGGTTCAACTCCAGTCAGTAAGGGGCTATCGGTATAAATGAGGGCCAAATTTGGCCCAAAGCCTCTATTTTGTAATATGCCCATTTCTGAAAGGCTGCCAGACACAGAGTGGTATTATCAGAGATGTGCACTGATGAGCGAGTTGTATTATACATTTTACCATAGTACAGATGTGAGAACAGATTATTGGCAGAACCTGGTTTCCCCTTGATGCTCCTGGCTTCTATATATACCACAATGATAACAAAGGCAGCTGCAGATCATCTTTTTTCACCCAGTAAATTACCTTGAAAGAAGGGTCAGACCGTACACGTATTGAGGAAAATCGTAAATGCCATTTGGATCAATAAAGACTGCACTAACCTTACATTTATCTTCAGAAATGATCTTGGTGTCTTGACTCACCTTGACAATCTAATATTGGTGAATCATCGTTACTGAGACATGGACTTGTTTAGGTGACACATGCTGATGGATAGAGAACCAAGATATAATGATGATGACTACAAATAGGACAAACAAGGAAAACAGCTGGTATTTTCCTATAGTTTTCAATTATCAGAAGAGATATGTGGCCCAAGCTGCTGTTTGGAATTTTTGTGACTCCGATGATAACAGTTACCTTGGAGAATCATTAAATATTGTTGTGATTAACTTGATAAGCTGTTTATTTTGAATGGAAATTACATACCTGTTTCCTCATACTTTGCGTTGAAAATATACCCTTAGATAATTCTGTCAATTATGCCCAAGCCATTTTTGTATGTCTTCCGATTAATGAAGATTTCTTTGCTGTCCAAAGAAACAGTGCCATCAACAAATAAAGGGAGTGGGGTATTTCCCATTCAGAGACTAGCTTGGTCTCTGCAGCCTTGTGGATTCCCTAATGCATGTGGACATGGCAGTGTGGGGCAGGGCCACATAGAGATTCTGAAGGCCTGGGGGCAAAATCTAAAACTGAAACCCTTCCTATCTTTCAGAAAAAAAGACCACAGAGGTGAAAATGTTAAAGAAGGGGGATGGGTCCGAGATGACCTAAGTCTGTAGCTCTGCCCTCCCTACAGGGATAGGGTGGCTCTGTGCTGTGTGTGGCTAGGAGGTTGCTCCCAATCCCTCCTCTTTCTTTGCTCCAGCCTCATTGTCGATCAGAATGTTATCCCTGACCTCACTCTTACCTCCAGGGCTTCAGCCTGGCATGGCAGTGTCAGCCCTGAGAGACGCTGTGGGCCTGTGCAACAGGTTGCAACACCACTCACTCAAATTTGCCTTGGTTGCTCCTCCATCATGGGGGGGGGCAGGGAGCTGGAGCAACCCACCCTTATTGCCTTGCCATATGGCAATTGCAACCCGCTTCTCCAGAGGGATGGCGGGCCGCAGGTGGGCAAACCCTGATTTGGGCTCCTTTCTACTATAGCATCGTCACATTTATCGTAGCCACTCTTGAAAATAGCAAAGAGCAGCTGGTTACTTTGCACAGCCCTGTTGCCTTTTCAGGTTACTTGGTACAGCCTCTGCCCAGAGAATTTGGGGGTGCTATTAAAATCTCAGATTGAGTGATGTGCTAGAGAGCACTCTAAAGCAGATCTAGCCATCTGATGCAATGGGTCCAAGAAGTCCTGCCACTCCTGCTTGTCCCTGTGTCAGTGTGTGTGGCAATGGGTATGTCTAGACTATATGCCTCTGTTGCTAGAGGCATGTAAATTAGACATACCAACATAGTCAATGAAGTGGGGATTTAAATATCCCCTGCTTCATTAGAATAAAAATGGCCGCTGCGTTGTGCTGGCTCAGCTGTTTGTCAGCACAAACTGGCAGTCAAGACGGGGATCGGTCGGCAAAGGCTTTCCTTGCCGACCGATCCCTGTCTTGACTGCCGGTTCGTGCTGACAAACAGCTGAGCCTTCACAACGTGGCGGCCATTTTTATTCTAATGAAGCAGGGGATATTTAAATCCCCACTTTATTGACTATGTCGGTATGTCAAATTTACATGCCTCTGGCAACAGGAATGGTAGGACATACCCAATGAGACAATGGGGAAGAAGTAACAACCTTAAAAGCTGTTGCACTTTGTTGGTCATCTGTGCTGATTATCAGAGTCTCACTTGGCTCTGCTCTTCACCCACTTTTTTCCCCACCAGGTTTCTTTCTCTCTCTCTGTCCCATTCTCCTATGTTTTTTGCAGTCCCTTCATAGTGGGGCATGTAAACTCATGAACACCGGAGTTCAAGTTCAAACCCAGTTTGTTTGACAAGTGGAGAAAGAAGGTGACAGGTGTGCCCATTCCTAAATGGCACCTCTAGTCACTCATCCATGATCCAAGTAAGACGGAATGTGACATTCAATTCAGCAGGCCGAAAGACTGACATTCTCTCCACTGGTCTCTGGCCAGCTGCTCTGTTCCCATCTTGCTCACGCCAAGGCTGCTCTAGAGAAGCCTAGGAACACATGACGTTTGGAAACTGCACCTGGCTTAGCAGGCACAGAGTAGGTAGGAGGTTGGAAAGGATAATTATTTAACCTTCATCCCTTTTGGGCCTCCAACAGACCTATAGGGACAGGCCCGTGTGGGCACTGGGCACCCCTGTTTTCTTCCTCCAGAGCTGGCAAAGGACTGATTTTTTTATATTCCTACCCCCTGCCTGTCGTTTCCTACTGCAACAGATACAGCTGGACGTACAGGGTAAGTCAGCGTCTTTCAGCTCTGCCACTACACTAAAAGGACCCTGGACCTCCTCTTCCTTCTCCCAAGTATGTTGCCCAGCAGCAGTCCAGGGGCGATTTTTCAGCTCCCTCCCCATCATTCATTCCCCATCACTGAATCTGGACACAGGATCTATTTTTTTGCTGTATCACCACTGCTTGCTGGACTCCAATCACTACATTCCTTTCCCAGACCGCCTCCCTCCCCACTTTGAAATGAACGGTAATACACCCCAAGCATATGTCAGTAAAGAGTGCAGTCCTACGGGCAGACCATGGACTTGCACATTGTTTGAGGCCCAGTTGAAAGTACTTGGAAAAGGTGGTGCATATAAGTAAATACCCAGATTTCAATTTGAAAAGTTAAATGGACGAGGGGGCCAGATATCTGCAAGACTTTTATATCAGAGACACTTCTGTTGCTTGGCCTGCAGGGACAAGGTTCATATTCTTCTCAGCTAAGTCACCTTTATGCATCTGTCTCAGTGACACTTCTCCGTTCCTTTCCAAACAATAACCAGGCCATTCTTCTTTCCTTTCCTCCCTGCAGGAGGATGCAGATGTGGAGTGGAAGTTTGCTCGTGCCAAGCTGTGGTTATCATACTTTGATGAAGGAAGGACTCTGCCTGCTCCTTTTAATCTAGTGCCAAGCCCTAAATCATTTTATTATCTCATAATGAGAATAAAAATGTGCCTCATAAAACTCTGCAAATCTAAGGCCAAAAACTGTGAAAATGATCTTGAGATGGGTATGCTGAATTCCAAGTTCCGGGTATGTCATGTGCTTCTTTTCTTTTAACATCCTGAATGGAAATAGACCCTCAGGTCCTTTGTGGGCCTCAAGGGAAGGAATTTTGCTTAGTTCACAGATGAGCAAAAAAGTATTTAGTATTGTATGCTAATATATTTATTACAGGCCCAGTGGTGGGGGAGACAAGAGGGGCAACTGCCCCAGGGCCAGGAGATTCTAAGGGGCCCAGAGCTTATGGCCCTTTAAATTGCCGCCAGAGTACCATGTAGCACACTCCAGGTGGCTCTAAGGGCTGGGTGCTTGGGAGGGTCATGCTCTGGATGGTGCCAAAGGCTGTCTGTCCCAGCCCTGCTCCTTCCGGGAGTGCAGAGCCGGAGCTCTCCGCCCCCTCCCCGCACCTCGCTGAGGGGGCCCGGCATGGCTGTCAGCTCCCCTAATTTATTACTATTTATTTATATTACAGTAGCACCAAGGTAGTGGCCTCATTGAGTAAGACACTGCAGCTATCTAGGGGGAGAGCCTATGGTCTATAAATAGACTGGGAAGGGGAACTGGTGAAGTGACTTTCCCTAGGAAGTCACAAAGCAGGCCAGTGGCAGGGCTGGGAATGGAAGAATGCAAGTCCCACTCCACGTGCCTATCCACAGGACCGTGCTGCCTCTTGGCACCATGTTTTATATATTGCCTAGCTTCTTTATCGTCATTATGTAAAAATCAACATTGAATACGACATCCAATTTTATCTGTGGAAGCAGCGCTCCAACCAGGGAACATTAACTTCTCCCAGCAACTGGCAGCTGTAATTAGCAACCTCTCCACTTTCAGCTGCCTAATGACGATCATCCGCAGTAACAGACCCTGCCTCATCTGCCACCTGTGCATTCTTTCGAAAGAGAGCTGTGCTTTGGGAACACACAGCTCCGGTGGCTTCGGAACAGGCACATTGGCAAGAGCCGAGTTACCGCTCCCTTAGTGCCAATGAGCTTCTGCATGACAAAATATGAGACATGCAGAGAAACACTCCAAAAAATCTGGCACTTTCCAACCGAGGTGGCTTGCCTAGCTCCTGAAGAATATGGGGAGATATACGGGGAAAGTTTAATTCAGTGGACATTTTTTATTTGCAGAAATGTTATTGGGACAGATCTGTTCTTAGCAAACAAAAAACCCCATAGGCAAATCTGTCCCCTTCCTTTGCAGCACTTCTGTCAGTTTGGAGTTTTTGAATAAAATGCCCAGATCTTCCCACCCAAAATTCAGTTGCAGCTGCTTTACCGTGACCATCCAACTCAGCAAAAATTAAAAGAGGTGATGAGCTAGTTTCATTTCAACAGCATGGGCCCTCATTTTAACTTCCTGGGCTCGAGCTGAGTTTGAAAAACAACACTGAGAAGTGAGACCTAAAAATAAAAGAGTTGAGATTTTTGTCTTTGTTTAAAGTTCTTGCACATCACAGAGGTTGAAGTGCTGCTCCTAGGCGACACCACCAGGTGATCTGGGGCTTGTTAATATTCAGGCTGCATGTTCCAAGAGACATCAGTTCATGCTTTTTCAATTTTCCTCTCAATATCCCTGCATGTTTTGAAGGCCCTGTTAACTCAAACCTGTCAGCTGCTTCTGCCATTCACAGGACAAAAACTAGTGAGAAGGGGAGGCCCTGTTGAGTACAGATGCAGACCAGAAAAGAGGCAGTGAATCAGCCCTGATGGGGGCCAAATAAATGCAATGAGTCAGCAAAATAACAGAAGCAAATAAGAGGCAAGAAACATAGAAATGAGCTGGGAGGAGAGGAGAAAAAGATTGCGATCAAAGAAATATGCAGAAAGGAGGAGAACAGGAAGAGGTAAGAAGAAGCTGACAATGCATCAGAGGAACACAGCCAAAAGCGGAGCCACAGTGGTGATAAAGGGAAAAGCTGAAGCAAGAATAGTACAGAAGACGACAAGGAAAAATGTAGGAGAGGAATGCAGAGGAGGACTTTGCAGAGTTTACCATTGTAATCTGCAGTCTTTGTGACTGATTGGAGTTGATTGATACCATCCACTGAGTCTGATGACTAATTTTCTCTTCTCTTTGTTCAAAAAGCTATTTTCAAAATTCAGCTACAATCACCCAGAAAATTAAAAGTAATTAAGAAAGCGCTGCCTCTCGCCCTTTAACACCTGCCTGCCTCAGAGTGGTGTGACACAGCTACAGTCAAAACAGCCTTTGTTTAGACCAGTGACTCTTAATCTATTTACATGCGGCTCACAATGTGTCATGTGGGCTGCATCTAATGCTACCTGTAGGGACCTGAAAGTGTCACATGGGCTGCAGTTCTGTGCTGATTGGGCCACAAGTGGTTTGCAGGTCACAGGCTGAAAACCGCTAGTGTAGACAAAATGAGATTGAGTTTCTCTCTTCTGTTCATTTTGGCAAAGAAGTGAGAGAATTCTCTTCCTCTGCATCCTCCTATGAGATAGCACAGGCAATATAGTCTAGAAGATATAGCACTAAACTAGACATCAGGAGTCTTGGCTTCAATTTCTGTCTTTCCCCTGGCCTGCTGAATGGCCTTCAGCAAGTCACTGCCGTGCTTTTCTGAGTCTCCATTTTCTTGTCTGTAAAATGGGGGTGACCTATCTGACTCCTTTGTCAAGCACTTTGAGATCTGCTGATGAAAACTGCTGTGTGAAAGCTAAATACGAATTATGTTTATTAATTGGAGAATGTAAGTGTTGGTGTTAGTCTGTAGAATCTCCAACCTGCTCACAGAAGGCAATGTTTTCTAATGTCGGCATACCTCTTTTAATCTGAGATGGAGAGGTTTGTTTGGGGGAAGAAGCGGATCCAGATTTAACGTTTCATTGTGTTTTATAATTTCAGAAAGTTCGTTTTCAATCTAGTGCTCGAAATTCAGAAAACTTTACTGTGAAGAAGGCTTATAACAAGCCCACAAGATATCAGGTAATCACAGTAGAACATCAAGAGTTAGGGGAAAGATCTGTAAGCGAACCAGGTTTATTTTGCAATGATCAGATTTGTCAGTTTACAGTGGCGTGTGTCAAGCAATCAAATCAAAGGACACAGTACATTATGGGTGTCACGGAGTGTGGGGGAGTCACTGGGCCCTGCACCCTCCTCCGCAGTAGGGATGTTAAATATCGGTTAATTGAATAGTCGAGTAACCTCATGAATTCTTATCGGTTAGTCAACTATTCTATAATTCCCGGGGGCAGGGCCCGCAGCCAGTGCACTCTGGCCCGTCTCCGGCCCCACCCCTGTATCAGAGGCAGCAGCACGGGGTTCCCGGTGAGAACTGGTCCACGAGGGGAGCCAGTTTAAAATCCAGCTCCCCTCACGAGACATGGAGTGACCTGGAACTGAGCTGGGCTGCCTGCCCACCCAGCTCTTAAAACACTTTAAATTAGGTGTATTAATTTAAGACACCTGCAGCGGGGATAGGTCCTGGATCTGGTGTGAGCCAGAACTGAGCCGGGCTGTCTGCCTGCCAAAAAATGTACTGGGGAGGAAAGGAAATGTGTGTAGTCTATGGCATTAACCAATAAGCTTTTGCTTATCGATTAATTGGTTAATCGACTACACTATTACATCCCTAATCCGCAGCCAGATGTGACTCTCAGCCAACAAGTAGAACAGAAGGTTTATTGGTTCACAGGGACACAGAGTCACACAGACTTGTTGTTACAGGAACCAGGAGCAGTTAGTACAATCCATCTTGTGGTTAGGGGGCCCAGAGCCAGAGCTCAGGGTCCCTACCTGGCCCCCCAAGCCAGCTAGACTCTCTTCTCCCTAAGCCAGCCGAAAAAACTAACTCATTCACCCAGGAACTGGTCCCAGCCTTCTAGGCATCCCCACTCCCTCCTTTGTTCAGATTCCTGGGCAAGGTGTTATCTGCTGTCATCTGGTCCTCAGGACATGAGAGAGACTGAACTTATTTCCAGCCTTCCACTCCTCATCCAGATAGTGTTGCAGTGCCCAGGGAAACTGAGGCATGCGTGTGCGCCAGAACAGTGCAAGACAGTAGAGTCATATACAACACAACATAGCAAACAGAGTGCACACAAAAACAGTGAATACGGTGACTACAAGAGTGAATACGATCCCCCTTATGTCACAATGGTACAGAGACCAAACCTTCTCCTTTCATAATTGCTTAAGGCAGGATGGCAGTGTAAAATCTATAGAAATGCATTTAACATTAATGTGATTATCGTGAACTTAATACAAGAAGCATTCACCTGGGCTTCATCGTAGACTCATTGACAGTGTTTCATTTTGTCATGACACAGTGTGGTCTCTCTAGACTTTACTTTGACATCCTCATGTGCTTTCTTTGGCAACACTTTGTACTATTGAGCTGGATCTGCAATGTGGTATGTTACAAAAAATAATTCTGAGAGCAGTGATAACATAGCTTACTTTCCCAACACCGTGAAATTACCATTGTTGTAAAGTCGTGAGTAGAACTGGGTGAAATACTTCTTTACAAATAGTTTATTTGCTAAAAAATGCTTTGGGGAGAACCACCAAAACTGTTACTGAATTTAGAGTGAATAATGCCAATAGAAATTTGGGGAAGGGGAGAAAGCTTTCAAAAGGTTGAAGTATTTCCATTTGACATCCATGAAATGAAACATTTTGACTTTACATTTCAAAATTACAATTAGTTTTGAAATGTACCTAGATTTCACTAAAAAAACCCAATATACTCAAAAATTAAACTAAACCTTTCATTTTGGGTCAAATGAAATGTCTCGTGCATCCTGAAATAATTTATTTTTAAGCTTTTTTTTTGCTGAGAAAACTGATGTCACTTTTTGTAAAAGATTTTTTTAGTTTGGGCACCAAAACATCAATTATTCACCAACTTCCAGTCCTGAGAATTTATTATTTTGGTAGTCATATTTTCTATGGAAACAATTGGTTGTATGTGTAGTAGCAAAATCTCCAACTAAGCAGGTTTATGGTTAACATCTACATACTTCAAATATTTGTAAATTATTAACAGGATTATGGAAAGGAATTAGTTAGTGGGATAAAAAAGTATAAGTATGGCTACACTGCACCGTTATTCCGTAATAAGGTATGGCCAATAAATGCATAAAGAAAACTGATTCCTGCATAGAAGGCAATAACTTATGAATTAAGGTCTGATTCTGGTATTTTTTCTTACATGAGTATCATGCCATTGAAATCCATGGAACTATGTGAGTGAGCAAAGTCTGGAGGGTTGAAAATTAGTTTAACTATCCAAGATTTTCAGGAGTAAATAGATTTTAACCTCTAGTTTTCTGTCAGTGGGTGCTCAGTGTGTTGTAGAAATCAGGTGTCTTTATGTTGCTTCAGATTGGGCAAACTGAAATCAACAGCCATTTCTGGAAATCTTGGCCAATATTTCTCTATTGTGTCTGTAACTATGTTGTTGAGAAGCCATTTCACTTAGGTTACATCTACACTGTGGCTTTTGCCGCAAGTGCCTATGCAAATGAAGCACGGATTAGTGTACCACTGCTCTTCATTTGCATAATTTATTCAAGCTGGTTTTGCACAAAAACAAGCCGTGTGGATAGGGTTTTTTTTGTGCAAAACCCCTGTTTTGCACAAGAAGGAAACGACCACACTGCTTGTTTTTGTGCAAAAACCCCTTGCGCAAAAACATCTTCAATAAATTATGCAAATGAAGCACAGCGATATGCTAATCTGCACTTCATTTGCACAGGCTCCTGTGGCAAAAGCCGCAGTGTAGATAAAGCCTTAGAGTAGAAAAGAACCCAGAAGGGGTGGAAGACAGCAGTAGAGATGCCAGGCTAAAATGCCACAATACAGTATCAAAGCAAAAATACAGTAGCATTGCTGAATAGAATGCAAGGAATGCCTCCAAAGTCTGCAGAGTAAAATCCATGCCTCAGATTCTTGATAAAGAATTATCACATTTGCCTTTCTGCTGTTCAGTATCCTGGCCAAAGCCTGCCATGTTATATTCTCTGGTATAGTTGGCACTATGAAGATCTTGACATTTAGCACCTTTAACTACATGGCATGGGTAGTACATCTTATTGTAAATATAGGCAGTGCTGCAACTATTGTGGTTGGCACAGGTAAATGCTCTGATAGAAAACGTCAAGAAGATAATGGCATTCATTATATGTTGAGTCCTTGTTTTCCTGCAACTTCCCTATTTTGAAAAGGGTTTCTGCTGGGATCTTGTCTTTCCCCACTTTCCCCAGAATGTTCCTCAATTTATGTTTTCTCAGGTGGCAACACGTCTTCCATCTGGATTCAACAACCTTGGCCATCTTCAGCATACAGTATGTGCGCTGTGTCTCCTATATATTTCCTTCACTGACCCACCTGGCTAGAGAAAGATCTCTTCTCTAGAACAACAAAGTCCTAAACATTCCACATTCCATCCCTAGACAGCACATAGACAAATAATTGGAACCTTTTTTTTTTTGCCATTCTCCTGCCTTTATATTGCTACAGTTCCCATCTAGCTACTTAATGATCATGACAAAAGGGTGGGATGTTTTTGGTTTGGGGTTGGTTTGGGGGTGGAGTTGTGTTTCATAACCTTTGGGGAGATTGTCAGTGACATTTAATGGGTTGGTTTGGGGGTGGAGTTGTTTCATAAACTTTGGGGAGATTGTCAGTGACATTTAAAGCAGCACAATTTATTCTTGTTCAATGGACATACGGGGCTGAACCTCGGTTGTATGAGTAGGATGGTCCTGTGATTAGTGTGCTAGCCAGGGCCATGTGAGACCTGCTCTGTTGCACACTACTTCTGGGAAAAAATTAAAAAACAAGAAATGGTCTGCTAGCACTTTATAGACTAACAAAACATGTAGATGATATCATGAGCTTTTGTGAGCTGTGCCCATGAAAGCTCATGATATCATCTACATGTTTTGTTAGTCTATAAAGTGCTACCAGATCATTTGTTGTTTAACTTTATCCTGTACAGACTAACTCAGCTACCCCTTGAAGCTTACTTCTGGGAACTTAGGCAAATTGCCTAGTCTCTCTTTGTCTCAGTTACACAGTCATAAAATGGGGATGATAGAACTTATCTGCCAGTCAGGGTATGAGGAGCCATATGCTTTTAAGAATTGTGAGATGCCAAGAGAAATGAGGCCATCTGAGCATTAAGTTGCTGTGATTCCCCTCCATTTTTATCCCAAAATGACAAAACTGCTCAAAAAGACCACCTTAAAATGTCTCTTTCAGTCCCAATGGGAGTAGCCATTCACATCATTACATAAAAGCCAGAAGACAACCATTCATAGTATTCAGAGGTAGCCATGTTAGTCTGTTTTAGCATGAACAACAAGGAGCCTGGTGGCATTTTATAGACTCACAATTTTATTATGGCATAAGCTTTCATGAGTTGCAATTCACTTCATCAGATGCATGAACGGAAAGGGAAGGAAACAGATAGTAGGGGTAGAGATACATCAGAGCTAATTGAATCAGGGTGGTCATGAACGGAAAGGGAAGGAAACAGACAGTAGGGGTAGAGATATAGGAGTGTTACATCAGAGCTAATTGAATCAGGGTGGTTGTGGATAAGAAGGTGAGAATAGCTAAAGTGAAAAATCCTGTGGATACGAAGGCGAGAATAGCTAAAGTGAAAAATCACTTATGGTGATAAGTGAGCCTTAAGTAATTTTCCACTTTAGAAAGTTTTCCACCTTCTTATCCACATTCACCCTGATTGAATTAGCTCTGGTGTAACACTCCCATCTCTGTACCCCTACTATCTGTTTCTTTTTCTTTCCCTTCATGCACCTGATGAAGTGAACTGCAACTCATACGCCATAATAAAATTATTAGTCTTTAAGGTGCCACTGAACTCATTGTTATTCATAGCAGTGTAAATAGAGAGGAGTCTAAGAGCTTTCTTAGCCCTATCCTAGAGTTAGGGCCCTGCCATTGCCTTCAGTGGGAGCAGGAGCAAGATCTGGAAGGCAAATCCAGTTCTTGCATGTAAGGGTATGGAGGCTCCCCCCAGATACTTGAGCAAGTGTGGTTCTATTGCATCAAAGGAGAGGGTTGTGTGTGCGTGTATGGTCAGAAGGTGCAGACAAAAAAATTCAGTGTGGCAGGAGCTTCTTGCATGGCAGCAGGCACGGGTAGGTGTGGACAGGACACAAACAGTCCAAGGGGGTTAGGGATAGCTGGGATAGCATTTCTGCCATTGTCTGGATCCTCCTTTCTTGACCCTATGGGAATGGCACCAGAAAGGGGGAGGGGCTGTATCCTGAAGAGACAGTCCTCTTCCTAGTCCCTGTATCTCTTCATGACTGGCCCAGCTGCTGAGGTCTGACATTGGGCAGAGGCTGTGCCCCTCAATGTCTAATGCCCACATCGTTGTCTAGGCACAGTAACTCTCCTTAAAGTCTTATCAGCTGTGTATAAGATCATAAAACTAAGGCTCAAAGTGAATGCAATAAATAATAAATGAGGCGTTGCCTCCTGTGACGAATAAAAGAAATGAGTCCCGGGAGTAGGGACTGTGGTGACTCAAGATGAAAGTAGATGCTAATGGGCTTTTCCCTTTCTAGTGTCTGGATCAGTTATTCTCAACCTGTAGCTTGTGGGACACTTGGGGTGTGTCTAGACTACAGGGTTTTTTCGACAAAAGTGAACTTTTGTCGACAAAACTATACCTGCGTCCACACTACCACTGAGTTCTGTCGACATAACATCGACAGAACTCAGCAGTTTTGTTGACGCTGGTAAACCTCATTTTACGAGGCATAATGCCTTCTGTCGACAGAGTTCTGTCGACAGAAGGTGTTATTGCATGTAAACTGTCCTTTGCGTCTACACTACCATGTCGACAAAGCAGCTTGCTTTGTCAACAGAACTCAATGTAGTCTAGACGCTCTTTGTCGACAGAAGCCTGTAGTCTAGACATACCCTTGAGGCCCAGGTGACATCCTCAGAGCCATATAAGGAGCATGGGATGTAGCCCACATAACACAGTTTGGAACACATCTCTGGCCCACAATGGTAAGCAGGTTGAGAACCACTGGTCTGGATGCTCGAAAAAGGATGTTAGTGCACCTGTTCTAGAAAGCAGATGGAGAGTGTCCCTCGTTAGATAGGAAAAGGAACTAAAAATCCTAACGGGATCAGGGCAAATCCCAAAGAGACATAGCCTCCTTGCAGATCGAGCACCACCTGCTTTGATTGTTGGGTTGACATTTCCGCCGAGTAACTAAACATTGTGGGCTCAATCATGCCACACGAGGGGGAATACAAGGGGGAACTCTGCATAGGACCATTAAGCTTCCATTAACCCTCTTTGCATGCAAGCAAAGAACCCCAAGCAAGAATGCATCCACTTCCATATCTGTTCTACACACTCAAGTGTAGATTATTTTTCATTAGTTGTGCGTTTGGGCACCCAGGGGAGCTATATAGTTATCTAAAAATGTATTTAGATGCTTAACTTTAAACTCCTAAAAGGTAATCCCTTGGGCCTGTTTACACTGCAATAATAGATGTATGGCAGAGCCACAGTTGTCCTGGGTCAGCTGACTCAGGTTTGCAACCGTTGGGCTTTCTTAAAATTTGTAGGCTACGTCTAGACTGGCATGATTTTCCGCAAATGCTTTTAATGGAAAAGTTTTTCCGTTAAAAGCATTTGTGGAAAAGAGCATCTAGATTGGCACGGATGCTTTTCCGCAAAGCATCCGTGCCAATCTAGACGCGGTTTTGCGCAAGAAAGCCCCGATCGCCATTTTCGTCATCGGGGCTTTTTTGCGCAAAACAATACCGCGTTTTCTACACTGGCCCTCTTGTGCAAAAGCATTTGCGCAAGAGGGCTTTTGCCCGAATGGGAGCAGCATAGTATTTCCACAAGAACACTGACAATCTTACATGAGATCATCAGTGTTCTTGCGGAAATTCAAGCGGCCAGTGTAGACAGCTGGCAAGTTTTTCCACAAAAAGCTGCTTTTGCAGAAAAACTTGCCAGTCTAGACGCAGCCATAATGTAAAAAAGTGGGCTCAGGCCAGAACCTGTGGTCTGAGACCCTCCCTTCTTGTGGGGTTTCAGCCCAACCCTGTCTACACTGCACAGTTGACCTGGGCTCTTACACTTGGCACTGTGGGGGTTTTCATTGCAGTAAAGACATACTGGGAGAGATCAGTCTGTTTCCTCTTTTTGTCATATTTCCTGCTCATCCTTAGATCTTCTCCAGACTATCAGTGGTGGGATTTTTTTCTCTCTTTTTACTAGAGAGCTAAAAAATACACAGGAGTTAAGTAGTAGCCTAATGTAGAACATACACGGCCTTAGGAGGACTTCTAGTTATACATCTCTGTATAAACATAGTTTCAGCACTTTTGCAACAGCATCACATTGCAAGATCATATCTGATTTGCTATCTGCTACCATTCTTCTCTATGTCTGCACTTTCTATCCAATAATCTTCCATTTCATACTTCTACCTGGTGTTATTTTTCATTGCATACGTTAAATACCTGCTATTTTTCTAAAGTAATTCTTATTCATTTTAAACCTTTTTTCCAACTTTGTTGGATCTTCTGACTCTTTTCTCTATTTTTCACTGAGTTTTGTTCTGCTAGCATCTAATACAACATCCACAGGAGTCAGTGGAAGTCTTTCCCTTGACTTCACAAAATGTAGGATCAGGCACTAAGTTCAATGAAATAAGTGACTTTGATAATGTCATTAACAAGTAATTTATTTTTTTCCTCCAGATTTTTTCTGATGAATACTTTAAACAGCAACCCATCTCCCAAAAACCTAAACTTGATTCCGCTTCTTAGTTTGATATTTAAACATTTTTGGTTATTTTTCATGTATGGGCTTTCCACCATATTTGTATGTGTCCCACGGTATCCTTTGATCTGCATAAGAACATAAGAATGGCCATACTGGGTCAGACCAAAGGTCCATCTAGCCCAGTAACCTGTCTGCCGACAATGGCCAGTGCCAGGTGCCCCAGAGGGGGTGGACCGAAGACAATGATCAAGCAATTTGTCTCCTGCCATCCCTCTCCAGCCTCTGACAAACAGAGGCCAGGGACACCATTCCTTACCTCCTAGCAAAGAGCCTTTTATGGACCTAACCTCCATGAATTTATCTAGCTCTTTTTAAAACTCTGTTATAGTCCTAGCCTTCACAGCCTCCTCTGGCAAGGAGTTCCACAGGTTGACTGTGCGCTGTGTAAAGAAGAACTTTCTTATATTAGTTTTAAACCTGCTACTCATTAATTTCATTTTGGTGTCCTCTGGTTCTTCTATTATGGAAACAAGTAAATAACTTTTCATCATTCACGCTCTGCCTTTCATGTGGGACCCTTATTCATCTTTGTTATTCAACTATTGCAACACAAAGTGTGTAAGTAAGATCCTGGCTATATGGAAGTCCATAGTGAAATTCTGATTGAGCCAATGGATCCAGGATTTCATCAATCTCTTGCTCAAACTGTTCATAGTAGTGCTAGAATGACAGATAACCAATAGCATTCCATGTAACCACTTTTATTCACATTGCAGAAAATAATGAAGCGTCTTATTAAGCGATATGTACTGAAGGCTCAGGTCGATCGAGAGAATGATGAAGTCAATGAAGGCAAGTGGCTTTTACAATTAATGATGTTACAGTTGCTGAAATCATGCATCGTTATTCAGCTCTGAACTGGTGTGTCAAATCATAAATCGTATGGGCAAGACTGTCTGCAGCAGCTCTGTAGAGGTAGCGTTCACAGGCATACCCTGGTGAGGGTAGATGACCATCTGTGTGCCTTTACAGTTTTGGCCCTCTCGGTGAGCTGAAATGGTCTGTGGTCTAATTTCTGTGGTCTAGGAAGGCTCTCTAAGGCCAGGTCTACACTAAGAGGGAACACCGAAGCAAGATAGTCAATTCTGGCGACGTTAAATATGCAGCTGGAGATGACCTACAGTGTTTCATGTTTCCCCACTGTCCCCACAACAGGTGCCTGACAGGAGCAAATGCTCCTGTCAGAATCCCTTGCTCCTCATAAAAGCAGGCGCACGGGCAGTTGGTGGTGGCGCCCTGTGAGTCTGATTTAACGAGACTTAACTAGACTCACTAAAGCAAACTCTGGAAGATCAATTGCGGCAGCAGCGATCTTCCATTTAGAGTGAACATGGCCAGAGTTATAGCAGACGTGCCCTTGAAGTTGTCTAGAGACACCAGGGTGGCATGGGGTGTGGCCTCACCATGTCTTACCTCACAGCTCTTGGTTCACCCCTGCACTGCAGCTTGTGAAGGGACCTGTGGAGGGCAGCCTACAGGTGTCTTACATGGTGCCTGCACTAGACAAATTCTCAGAGGCTTCCCTAGACCCTGGACATCACCATAGTGGCATACAGGGGTCAGAGCAGAGGGAAAAAAATCCTGTCCACTGTCTCTGCTGAGACTTTTACACTTTACACCACTTTACATCACAACCAAACCTACAGCACCATTCAGCAATGCAGCCAAGACCACCCTTTCTCCAAGCAGACCCATACTTCTTAAAGGCGCATGCCACTGTACATTCATATGGGCATTAGCAAGGCCTTTTTAAAAGCATTGGCCTGAGCTATCCCGTCTGCATCCCTGCAGTTCCCCACTCAGAATACATGCTGGCATGTGACCGCTGTCCCTGAATCACCAAAAGCCACTGCGTAGCTTGGAAAGAACAAAAGGATACTCCACACATTGCTGTTATTTGCTTTCATAATTGGAGCTGATTGTGGGGAGTGGGGGAAGTGTGTTTTTTGTATAGCTGTTGCTCCAGGTAGGGTCCTGCACATTTGGTGCCATGTTTACAGTTTGCATTCCCAAATGAACACATTCTCCGGAATTAAAACGCAGCTGCTTGTTTAATTCAATCTCGCTTACAAGAACTTTTTTTTTTCAATTTTAGGAGAACTTAAAGAGATTAAGCAAGATATTTCCAGTCTCCGCTACGAGCTTCTAGAAGAAAAGTCAGAAGCTACTGGAGAGTTAGCCAGACTAATACAACAGCTGAGTGACAAGTTTGGAAAGAACTTAAATAAGGACATTTGATGGTGAACAAAGAGAAAGACAGCGAGTTTTCTAAACATTATTTGATATTTCAACCAGCATTTTAAGAGAGCAAAAACAGTGCAAGAGATGGGTACCGAGCCCTGAACTTTTTCCACCTAAAAAATATTGCTAAGGGCACTGTGCATTAGAAGGTGTTTTGGGGAGACGCCAACTATCAGTTTGTGACTTTATGATATACAGGTGATATGGTGATATAAAAATGAGCCCATTGACATCAGAAATAGATGCACCATCTCCAAAAGTTAATCATGGTTATACTAGGTACACAAGGCACCTTTTTAAAAAAGGCAGAGAGCCAAATCTTCAGATGGTCTGAATCAGCATAATTTCACTGAAGTCAATGGAGCCAAAATGGAGTCAACTAGGCTATGTCTACACTGCAACGCTATTTCAGGATACCGGAGTATCCCAAAATCGCTATCCTGCATCTTCACAGCAAGCCCGTTATTTCAGGCTCACTATTCCAATGTCTCTGTAAACCTCATTCTACGCGGAGTAAGGGACGTTTCAGAATAGCGTTTTATTTCAAAATTTGGTGCCGTGCAAACAGTGCCAAATGACAAAATAAGATATTTTGAAATAGCATCAAAATAAGATACACAGTTTGCGTAGCTCAAATTGCATATCTTATTTTGAATTACGGTGATGTGTAGATGCAACCCTAGAGAGCTGATCCATTAATCTAGGGGTTAGATCTGGGTGAATCATGCAAAAAATATTCCACAAATATTCATTAAAACTGTAAAACAAATTGGCATTCACTTAGAGATGTGCACTTCTTTCGTGTTTGCTTTCCATGGACACCTATGAAATTGAGTTTGACTAGCACTGGGGTTAATAGAAAGCAAATGTGAAGTCACACATTAAAATACAGTGATCTTAAATTGACTTCCCCTGGGGATTTATACTGGAAACTTCATTTTAAGAGTTAACTCATTCAGTCAAGGAAGAATAACAATATCGTGTGACTTGTGACCAATCACAATGAGGCAACTCAGCTCAAATTTTGAATGTCAAATGGCAAGCCATAGCATAAATGAAATTCACAATGAATATTGCAGAATGGTATCAAACTGTGAATACATTTGGGGGAGGAAAACTACCTGTAACTGGCTGAGGACATTCCATTGACAAAAAAGGGGTAATTTGTCAAAAAGGGACTTTCTAGGAATTATTGCTCAGCTGTACTAACAAAAAACAGGAAGTTTTAAAAATTAAACCTATTTACAAGCTGCAGTAGCAGTCAGTCCTCCAATTGTACTGTTACAAGGGGAAAGTTCAGTACATGGTGCAACTGAAAACTCAGTTGCTTGTTTATTTGATTTTTTTAAGCTGCTCAAAGCACACCTTATTACTTTGGAAACACTAAACTGTACTGTTTGTTTACAAGGTGCACCTATGAGATGATCATATCATTTAGATCTCATCTAAGAGAAAAAAAGCAGAATCAGAAGGTGACCTGTGATCCGTTCTTAAGTGCCAGATGAGAACACAGATAGCCTAGTCATAGTTATATTTGTAAAAAAAATATATAAAAAAGCAAAGAAAAAAGTGTACTGTATGTAGACCTGTTTAGAGAAAAAATCAAAATACTGTATTTTTACCTTTAATAAGATTATCTTGTATACTGTAATATTTTTACCTAAAAATGAGGGGGAATAAAATTACCTCACAATATTTGTTGTACCTTGAGTGACATATTTGTCTGATCTTTTAAATACCCACCACATAGACATTTCACTGGTTTTGACGATGTGTGAACAGTTCCAAAATTACATACATTGACAGCCTATAGCCGATGAGGGTTGAAAAGCATCACAATATAATTATAGAACTAGAATTTCCAGAATTCTTCATCATCTGCATGCTGAACAACTCCATGAGGGTGATACTTAGTTTGAAATCACTGTGTTGAGATTCACACATGAATGCCTGGACACCTATTGAGATGGTAAAATATAGATGAGATAACTGCACTCAAGTCATTTTGTGACACTGCATTTCTAGTTGGAAATAAAATGGGTCACATTATTTGGACTAAGTTTAGAGAAGAAATGGCTGAAAAGACAATTGACGCCATCTTCTCTAGACATAGAATCACAGAATACTAGAACTGGAAGGGACCTCGAGAGGTCATCAAATCCAGTCCCCTGCCCTCACAGCAGGACCAAACACCATCTAAATCATCCCTGACAGGTGTCTATCCAACCTGCTCTTAAATATCTCCAGTGATAGAGATTCCACAACCTCCCTAGGCAATTTATTCCAGTACACCCTGACATGACCTGACATGTTACAATGTGCCAGTGCCAAGTGAACTGACAGACTCACCAGGCCCCTGGGCAATGCGGAAGGGGCTGGTTCCATGCTCCTAGAAGGGGCAGGGCTTGGGGAAGGGTCACCGCCCCCCTCCTCTGCAGCACACTGCCCCGGGCTCTGCAGCACACCACACAATGCTCCAGCAGCAATTTAAAAGACTCAGGGCTCTGGGCACCACTGCTGCTACAGTAGCAGGACCCAGGGCCCTTTAAATCCCCATGCCCCAGGGCAGTTGCCCTCTCCTTCCCCACTTTGAGCACGGGCCTGGCCAGTCCATACTATCATTTTCCACTGCTTTTATTCACAATCGGAGGAAATGTCTTTGCTTTACAAACAGTCGCAAGGCAATATCATGATCAAATTCTCACCGCACTGTGTTCACCAGGAAGGCATCACATAATAGCACTATATAACAGGTTTTCTTTCAACATGTAATACCCATTATTATTCTGAGCTGCCTTACTCTGCCTAAACCAATTACTGTTGCTCCTGTGAAGTGCTTGATTTTTTTTCACTTTGATTTATCCAGACTGTGTTTATCAAGTAAAGGGTTTTCAAAAAGACTTTTGGAATGATGGAATCTAATAATTTGTGATACTTCAACATAATACTATCATATGGAATGCACCACTTTCAGCTACTGCCCTGTGCATTTCAGACAATTGTGAATTGACATGAAATCAGGTGCAAAATCACATGCTTACTCATTTGGATTTAGATGGTACGATGATTGCCACTCTACCATCTATAATACATCTAAAAATGTGCAATGAGAGTCATAGATAGAGAATTTAAGGCCAGAAGAGACTGCCATAGCATCTAGTCTGATATGTACATCACAGCAATACCACCCATTCCTTGTGCTCTAAAACCAGCAGCTGAAATTACACTGAGGAAATACTGCCTGTAGGAGACTATATTCTCATTCTAATTCCACATGGCATGATCCAAAAACTGAGTAACACTAATGGGAGTATTTCATTTGATTTCAGTGGACTTTGGATCAGGCTCTATGCGATAAAAATTTCAGTCAATGAACATTCTGACAAGGACAATTTGTGCTGTAGTATGAATAGCTTTGTTGAACCATTTGCTTCCACACAGAGGCTTTCATATTTCCATTCAGTTACCACCTGCTTTTCTAATATGTAAATGTAGTGCTGCAGATCTGTCATAACCAGGTAGTTAACTAATTGTTCTGCCTGCAGTAATTTGCCATAAATGAGCGTAATACGCTGTAGATTTCAAGAGTGGAATAAAAGAAGGTTAAGGAAAGTTCTGTTAAAAAATACCCATGAGTCATCACCCACATTTGAAAATAAATTTGATTTAGTTGTAATTGCTTTTCCTTTGTGTTCACTCTCAATGACCTATCAAGAGATATATATCTACACAAATGAATGCTTGTGGAATGCAATATTTAAGTTTCTATGTTTAAGATTTTTTATCTGTGGGGGAGGAGGGGCGGAGAGATATGAGCTGATAGAACTGAGTGACCAGTTTTTTTAAAACTCCTGATTAGACCATTGGGATAGAAGCAGCTAAAGAAGTCAAAGTTAGACTACAAAGTTTTTTAAAACTGATGAAAATTAGTAGTTGGGGGTTTTATCAGTTGTACAAGAATTTTCACAAAAAGTTTCTGCATTGCACAAACAACTCAGAACTGAACACATTTTTTTTTTGTTTAAATATGATTTCAATTGAATGAAAACAAGTTTCTGTTCTTGTGATTCGAAACAGATTGGTTTGCTGAAAAATACAGCAAATGAAGCAAAATGCCTGAAAACTGCAATGTTAAGATGGGTGGAAGAGGGTGTGGGTATGGATCACTGTATAATTATCTCAGTCAGGACAGCAATACTGCCCCCTTTTGGGCAGTGCTTTTTTTTTTTTTTTTTGCCAAAAACAAAGCCTCTTGTGTTTTTGGCAGAGCTGGTTGAGAAATATGGTGAAATGGGGAAATAATGTAAATGTTTATGAAACTTTGTCTGCTTTTTGTCATAACCTTTCTGACCAGCACTACCATGCATCACAGAATAGCAATTAAGCCCAGTGTCCCTGAACCTCAGCAGGTGAATCCAAACCAGCTAATTGAAGAGGGCTGGGCTACCTACCCACAGAGCTTATAAAGGCCTGCTAGGAGTCAGCTGGACAAGGAAGGACTGAGACAGGCTGAGTCCCAGGGAGGAGAAGCAGCAGCCATACTGGGGTGTTGATTATACCTGTGATGGGTTGCTGGAGAAAGGCGATAGCAGCTCAGGGAAGCAGCAAATACAGTGTTAGGAATCATTTCAAAAGCAATAGAGAATAAGACAAAGAATATTTTATTGCCTCTATATAAATCCATGGTATGCCCACATCTTGAATACTGCATATAGATGTGGCCACCTCATCTCAAAAAAGATATATTAGCATTGGAAAAGGTTCAGAAAATGGCAGGTTTGGAATGGGTGTCATATGAAGAGACATTAAAAAGACTGGGACTTTTTAGCTTAGAAAAGAGGAGACTCGGGGGGATATAATAGAGGTCTATATAAACATACTGGAGTAGAGACAGTGAATCAAGAAAAGTTATTTACTTGTTCCCATAACAATAAGAACTAGGCGGTCACCAGATGAAATTAATAGGTATCAGGTTTGAAACAAATCAAAGGAAGTACCTGTGGAACTCCTTGCCAGATGATCTTGTGATGGCCAGAACTTTAACAGTATTCAAAAAAGGGCTAGATAAATTCATGGGGATAGATCCACCAAGGGCTATTAACCAGGATGGATAGGAGTGGTGACCCAAGTTTCTGTTACAGAATGGGTAACAGAGGTGGGATCACTTGGGCTATGTATACACTGCTGGCTTTTGCTGGCAGAAAGTATGCTAATGAAGCGCTCATTAGCATTTGTCACTCTGTCATCAGAATATTCTCTGCCTGAGGCTTTTTGCCCAAAGGTTTTTTGTGTAAAAACAAGCAATGTAAACAGATCCATTTTGCGCAAAAAAACCCTTTTGTGCAAGATCTGTATACCTCCTTTTTTGAGGCATAAGGATTTTGCACAAAAGGGAGTT